GGGGCACACACACGACACGGGGGGGCAGCGCGGTGTTTGGGAGGGGTTGTCGCGGATCGCAGGATGGATTTGTTTTCGTGCGTGTGGCCTGATGATCCACATGATGTTATTGGTATTTTTATTGATCACGAGGGCTTATTTTGCTGGCAGGGCAGCACTCGTTTGTCCCAGGGTTCGTGGTGCTAAAAGGGGGATTACCCTTAAAGTATCTTCTTTTGATGGGTGTTGCTTATAATTTAAAATTTCAAGAAGAAAGCAAAGCCCATCTCTGTCGGAGAGCAGGGGCCCGGGCGTTTGTCGGCATCATAATTCATCCGCAGCTACGAGTGAGGCGTGCGCCGGTGGAGTGAGCTAATGACTGCGTGTGCTGGGAGGAGAGAGGAGCAAATACCCGCCGAACCCGCTGCAGGCTGCCAGGGGATCACGGTTACACGAGAAGAGCCGAATCGGGGAAAGCCCGGGGCCCTCCCCGCCGTGTTGATGGGAGATGGGGGTAGTGGGAGATGAGGCAGAGGAAAGCATCTGGTCAAGGTCGCTCGGAGGGGGCTGGGGGCCGCCTTGGCTGGGTTGAACGAGTTGTACGGCTCTGAGGTTCCAGTCGGTGAAGGAGAGAAGCATCTCCTGGCTAATGGACGCTGCTGATGCCTGTGGTTGGAGGGAGGGGTGGTGGTTTGAATTCCTTGGTGGTGTATAGACCTCAGCCTTGAGCCTTTGGGTAGGGTGGGTGTAGTTGCACTATTTCTGAGCTCCCTGGTGGCCTTTTGGGAAGTGAGGCCCTTCCAGCAGTAACAAGTGATCCATACATTAGATCACGGTCTGGCTCACTGGAGGGGATGGGTCAGGCCATGTGATGTCTAGGTGGTAGGAGATGAATAGCTGGCAACAGCCAGGAGGAGGGAGTATGCAAGGGGGTAGAAGAACTAAGCTCGTTATAGCTTATGTGTGTAGCATGTAGGTAAGGGGTTACCAACCAAGCAGGTACCCTAGGGTCTCTGTGCACCCAGAAGAAAAAGGCCAGCTGTGACCGCTGCACGCCATGACAAAGCAGAGCCCTGGGGGGAGAGATGCTCTTGTGTTGAGTCACCGTGTTGAAAATGTGGAGAACTGGGTTTTGTCGCCAGCTTTGCCATATCTACTAACTAGGGATGACTTGTCTTGGAGTCCTGTAAGTGCTCAGATGTCTTAATGCCATTTTACAGGCATCCAGGTGCTTTGAAAGAGCTGTGTCCTTGTGGTTCTGTGACAAATTTTGTTGCGACAGAGATCGGGGGAGTGGTCACAGAGTGGCAGGGAGAAGACCTAGACAGCTTAGGGTGTGTTCAGGTGTGAATGCTACCTTGGGAATCATCTGCCCCCTGGAAGGAAAAGGACCTTGTCCCCTTTGTCTCCATCACTAACCTCATCAGGAAGAAAGCTCAGCCTGAGACACTTGCATGGTGTAGGTGGGGGAAACCGTGCCTGAGAGGAATTTCCCCAGTTGATGTTTACTGGGGCCTAACTGATAGCACTGTGAGGATTGTGCAGGCCAGAAGCACCTACATACTTGGCTTGGAAGATTGGTAAAGGTGTCGTGAGCACTGACAGAAGGTTATTGGCAAAAATTTTGGGAAGCCTTGTGAGCTGCTTCTCCTGGAGTTGAGCTGAAAAGTCAGAGACTGGAAGAGCTGTGGCAGTAGGCCCCACGGGGTACTTTTCTCTCCTCAGCCAGCCTTAGGACAATAATTTGAAAGCCTTGGAAAAGGGACTGTTAATATTTTTGGAAAATCTTTCAATCCTGCCTGAGACAGAAACATGATCTTTCCAAATCGTGCCAACTCAAGCACTGGCAGCCTAACTGCCAACTCCTGAGTCACCTGCTCCCCCACGCCTCCCTAATACAGAGCTGGCTTAAATGCCACAAGCTTTAAAAATGAAGAAAATGTCTGATGCTTTTCACTGTCACTTAAGTTTCTCAGTCTGTGGAACTTCTGAGGTTGGACCTTCAAGCTTCCTCTATGCATTGGAGGGCTCAGCAGTTTTGTTATTTTGTTTTAATAGATTCACATACACTCAAATTCCAGGGACTGTGCTTCATTTAAAATACCAAGTATTGCCACAGCTTCAAGGAAAAATAAACGGGAAGGTTGGCAGCACTGATGGCACCTCTGTGAGGCAGATAGCCCTGCCAGGTGCCCTGGGGCAGGGTTGGAAAGCTCTAGCCTGGGAAAAGTGGGCCTGTTGCTGAAGAGTGCATGTTTTAACTGTTAGGAGTGACTGTCAGTATAGCAGATCTGAGACTCGGTTTATGGGAACTTGTCAGTTGGCACGGGGAAGAATTAGACCCTTGTTTCATGACATGCCAGAGATCAGCAAAAGCTTTTATGTAAAGCAGATCAACCCAAAATAACAGCCACTAATGCAGCCAGTGTATTCGTTACTATTGAGCTGAGAATATTTGATGAAGGTCAGGAGATAATAAAGATGAGGTCCTGGTAGACCCTCCTAATCACAGAACTTTTTTCCTATTCTACAACTACATCTCCCTTTCCAGGGTCTCTGTTACTGGTACCCACCCTTGCTGGATAAAAGCCCATCCCCTGTCCTTGGGGTACTTGCACATGACACCTATGAGCTTCAGCTGCTGTTTATGACAAAGAGAAACTTGTGTAGAAAGCATGACTAAAAAATTAACTAAATAGTTGCTTTTTCTATTTTCCCACAGAAAATCACAGCACCCCTTATCTATGCTGTTTCCATTGCTGCCATTGGATCTCTTCAGTTTGGGTACAACACTGGTGTCATCAATGCTCCTGAGAAGGTGAGAGAGAAAGAGTTGGGGAGATCGTATGAGTGAGAGGCTGATGGGCAAATCAAGGTGTAGAAAGGAGAGAACCTGTCTCACAAGCAGCTAAAAACTTGGTTCTGGTTTATGAAGTCAAGATGTTGAAAACCCCCTCTCAACTACAACAACGAACAGAAAGGGCAAAGTTTTGGGGAGGGGACAGAGCAATTAGGAGTGCAGGGGGGGCAGGAGGGCTACATCTGCCATGTCCTGGTAGGTCTATATTTGGTGTGTGGAGGAATGTGACCCACTTCAGTTTAGAGTCAGAATAAACCAGCCATGGCAGAAGGAATGTAGAGAGCAGCGTACAGAAAAGAGTTGAGGGTTGATAGGGATTACAGTTGATCCAGTTTAGTTTATCAGGGACCATCTCAGGTTTATTTATTTTATTTGTTTATTCATTCCTTGTTAAGTGTAGATTGAGTGCTTGTAAAAGGGTTGTGACTGGGGTGCTCTGAACAAAACATATGACTGTCGCCTAAGCAAGAAGAGATGAACATGAGAAATGTGGTGGTTTGGTGTGTTGGGTTTTTTTTTCTAACTATAAGATGGTTCCTCTCTCTCGGGGGACTGAGTCACCAATACCACATCCACCCTGTCTCCGGGAATAGATGTCACATTGCTGGTGGTGGGAGGCGGGGTGGGGGGTGTGTGTGTGGTTCTCCCTAGCTAGTGTCCTGCTGCCATCTGCTGGGGCAGACACTGAGGCCATGTCCCCCTCAGCCCTTTCAGAATTGTTCTTGTTATCAAAGAGGATGCCTTGGAAATCAGCAATACAGCCCTGTCACATCCCCACAGGCAGCAAAGGATTGTTTTACATAATGCAGTTTTTCAGGCTTACCTCAGTGAAACTTTCTGTGTCTCTTATACTGTTTCCATCTCAAAGTCTGTCACTGCTACCAGAATTCTGGCATTGCCACAAATATTCCCTTGCATTCTCTGGTCATGTTTTATCGAGCCCTCTCTCACTCCCAACTGTCTCACACCCGCTCCCAAGCACCGCTAGTGACTCACATCATCCAGAAACATTCAGAAGATAAGCCTGTTTTCCTTAATAAGCACTGTCCCACCACTCCAACATTCACTGGAGCAATCTATCCCTTATCATACTGCTACCCATCTACTGAACTTCTTGAAAGTTCCTCTTTCTGCACCCTCATCTTCCCCTTGTATGACTTGTTGCTGCTTACTGAATTTTTATGGTCTATCCTTGCTTCTTGACTCTACAAAAACAGAAGGCAGACCTCAGAAGTAATCTCCCCACTTCTCAGTGCAGAATGCCTCCCACTGGATTGTAACTCTGTCCCCACCTGGATTCTCTTGCAGATCATCCAGAGGTTCTTCAACAGAACCCTGTCAGAACGGACTGGGGAGGCTGTCTCCTCAGAGCTCCTCACCTCTCTCTGGTCCCTTTCTGTGGCCATCTTCTCAGTAGGAGGGATGATTGGCTCCTTCTCAGTCAGCTTGTTTGTTAACAGATTTGGCAGGTAAGTTGGGAAGAGGAATCCAAGCCATTGGGAAATTTTTCCTTTCTACAGTGGATGTTGGGAGGAAGAGGACACAGGTGAGAGGAAGGGAGGAGGAGGAAGCAAGAATGCGTGGGCTGCAAAAAGAAAGGTTTGCAGGCTAAGGCAGGAGCTGAATGGTATTACTCTGAGATGGGGGTCATGGATAGATATATCCCTCTCCCCAGTGATTTTCCCACTGTATTGCCAGTTTAAGCTCAGTCTTGACATCTTTATCCTGACAGGAGGAACTCCATGCTACTGGTGAACATCTTGGCCTTTGCTGGTGGCACTCTCATGGGCTTCTCTAAGATGGCAAAGTCAGTGGAGATGCTGATTATTGGCCGCTTCATTATTGGTCTTTTCTGCGGTCTCTGCACTGGTTTTGTGCCCATGTACATCAGTGAGGTCTCGCCCACCAGCGTCCGTGGAGCCTTTGGCACCCTCAACCAGCTGGGCATTGTTGTGGGCATCCTGGTGGCCCAGGTGAGCTTGACACAACCTGATCCTGCCCTCAGGGTGGGAAGGAGGGCTGGGGGAGGGTGAGCTAGTCTGCACTTGCCATCAGGTGTGGTATGGTCCTGTCATACCCACTGGTGTGGGGTATTGGAGTATTTAAATCACTCTATTTATTTCTAAATCATTCTATTTCTAGATCTTTGGCCTGGAGGGAATCATGGGGACTGAAACACTTTGGCCGCTGCTTTTGGGCTTCACAGTCCTCCCAGCAATCCTGCAGTGCGTGGCTCTTCTTTTCTGCCCCGAGAGCCCCCGTTTCCTATTGATCAACAAGATGGAGGAAGAGAAAGCACAAGCAGGTAAGAACTTATCTCTGAAAGGGCAGGGCTGCATTCTGGCTCACAGCTTGTACTGAACTTGAGTGGGAGGTCAGGGCTGACTCTGGAGCCTGTGGGTGGATCAGGGTGTGACTCCTGGAGGGCACCAGACCTACCCTCCCATCCTTAGATTGCACCAGTGCCAGGAACTGAGAAACCTGGCATCCTAACAGACTCCAGGTGGGATTAAGATGTGAGAAGTGGCACCTGGCCTGGTGGGATGTAGCGGGGCCAGCTGCTGCAGCGCGCTCTTTCAGCTCCTCCTGGAAGGCAGGAAATAAGCTGACACTTAACAAGGAGCTTGGAGGGTGTTTCCCTCTCCCAATGCAGAGAGCTGGAGACAGCTCTGACAAGCATGTGAATAGGATTAGGGATGAAATGTAGGTTTGGAGATCAAGCAACAGGAGCAGAACCTGGGCCTGTTTCCATGCTGATCGCAGCACTCCAACCTCTGGGTTGAAAAGATGAGCAAGGCTGCATGTGGAGGCTTGGTCTTTCCCACGCAGCAGACCTGAATGCCACCTGGCAGATGGTCCAGTCTTCCCAGTGTGCCTCCCTGAAATATCAGGGCTGGGGTGGGGGGGACCTACTGGCTATGAGTATATTATACCTGACATTTTTTTGGATTCCTCCCTCCAGTTCTCCAGAAACTTCGTGGTACACAAGATGTGTCTCAAGACATCCTGGAGATGAAAGAGGAGAGTGCTAAAATGTCCCAGGAAAAGAAAGCAACTGTGCCAGAGCTCTTCCGTTCCCCAAACTACCGTCAAGCCATTATCATTGCCATCATGCTGCAGCTTTCCCAACAGCTCTCAGGCATCAATGCTGTGAGTTATCATCCTGTCCCAACTGCTGGGCCTCCCTTATCTCTGCTTACACTTGCACTTGCCACTAACGTTGAGAACTGTGCTTCCAAAAACCTCTTTGTGCCTTGTCTGGCTGTCGCTGTTTTGTGATATTGCAGAGATTGCTAAAATGGAAGGTGGAGATTATATTTGCTTTTACTTCCCCCACCCTCCCACCCCACTGTAGCACGACACTGTAGCCTTGCACCAAATGAATGAACCTTGACTGGAAGGATGCTGTTTTATTTTATACTGTTGAGTGCTTCTTAAAACTTCTCTGTTGGGCCTGCAAGCCATTAGGCAGAGAATGAGGGACATGCTCTCAAACACTGAAATCATGATGGTGTTTTAATTTTTGTTTCCCAGGTATTCTATTATTCTACAGGGATTTTTGAAAGAGCTGGTATCACACAGCCTGTGTATGCCACTATTGGAGCTGGCGTGGTAAATACCATCTTCACTGTTGTGTCGGTAAGTGGAACAGGGCCTTATGGTGAGAAGTAACTTGTCTGTCTGGGCTTTTTTGAGAGGTTTCACTGAAGACAAGTAGCCAGGCTGTGGCAAAGCATCGAGAGAGGGAATGTCTGATGAAAGCAAAGAATGTGTTAATAAAAGCATTATGGGATGAGAGGAGGGGAGAAAGTTAATTGTAATCCTTTCAGAAGAAAGGGAGAGTGAAAAGTAGTGCATGAGGGGAAAATAATGAGAAGGCAGTAGCAAGAACCAGTGAGGAAAAACTTGTGCCAAGGATGGAGCAGCCTGGTGACCTGCACTGAGATCACCACTGGCACTGAGGACTACAGGCAGATAAGAGGTGCAGGGCACACCGAGCGAGGGAGCCTCTTCTGCTCTTGCTGCCAAAGTCACTGATTTTATTCTTTTTTTTTTTTTTTTCCCCTCCTCCTGCCATTTTCCAGCTGTTCCTGGTAGAGCGTGCCGGACGCAGGACCCTCCATTTAGTTGGTTTGGGTGGCATGGCTGTGTGTGCTGTTCTTATGACAGTTGCTTTAGCTCTGAAGGTGAGTCATCATGTTGAGGCTGACCCCAGCACGGGACCTATAATACCTTGCCCTGCAGTTCTGCCCTGCAGGCATTTACAGCTGGGGCTAGAGCTGAGTGCAGCTTCCAAACTGCAAAAACTGTGTCACAGTGTTCACAGTGCAGCCGAGAAACTTGTGACACTGGAGATAGCATTTGTGCTGTGCCGTGTTTGCCTCAAATTGCAGCTGATCATGTTTTGTTTTCTTTGCAGGATGTTGTGGAGTGGATCAGATACATCAGCATTGTTGCCACTTTTGGCTTTGTGGCGCTTTTTGAGATTGGCCCTGGCCCTATTCCATGGTTCATTGTGGCAGAACTCTTCAGCCAGGGCCCACGGCCGGCAGCCATGGCAGTGGCTGGCTGTTCCAATTGGACCTCAAATTTCTTGGTTGGAATGCTCTTCCCATATGCAGAGGTAAGGACCAAGTTTGCAGAGTTCTGTGGGAGTGCTTCAATATTGAAATGGGTTTCACCATTTTGGAGACTTCAGAACATGACTATATGACCCTTAGCAAACTGATCTCTCCTTGAAGTTGTCCCTGCTTTGAGCAGAAGGCTGGTCAGTCTCCCAGAGGTCCCTGATTCTGTGTTCTGATTGTTACTGAAGGTTAAGAGTATTGTGGCTCAGCTTATATTCTGCTGTCTGAAGTGCTTGTAGCTTACAGATAGTTGGAAGAGCCATCTTAATTAGCGCATCAAGGCTTTCCATTTAAAAGCCACAATTTTGGTCATCTCCAGGAATATTAAAGCATTTCAGAAGCCCACAGCAACCTGATTTTGTCTTAAAATGCTGTGTTGAGAAAGTCAGTAAGGGCATTGTTGGAGAAAGGTGTTAGAATTTTGACCTGCCAACTGAAAATGACCTTGCATTTAGGTTTATGAGCTTGTCAAATTAAAACCTCTTGCTTTTTTTCCTCCCTGCAGAAACTGTGTGGCTCCTATGTCTTTCTCATATTCCTTGTTTTCCTGGTCATCTTCTTTGTCTTCACGTTCTTCAAAGTACCAGAGACCAAAGGCAGGACTTTTGAAGACATCTCCAGGGGCTTTGAAGGACGAGCAGAAGCCAGCCCCACATCACCTGTAGAGAAGAACCCCATGGTGGAGCTGAACAGCATACAACCTGACAAAGAAGTTGTCTAACATTCATGACACACCCCTTCTTCGACTCTTACCTGATTAAAGAGTCATTAAAGGAATGAGCAAAGAAAACCATGAGAACTGGGACATTTTTTCCTCCCCCCTCAATTGCTGCTATTTTCTTCTTTGCACCCACATACTCAACCATTCTGCCAGGCTTACCAGCATTAAGCAAATCTGATATGGGTGATCCCATTTTCAAGTACTGGAAGGCACCTGGCATTTGCAAAAATAGTCTCATCTTCCCTGTCACAAACATCAGGAGAACAGAGAAGAGCTGGCAATATTTTTTGCTTTTCTCACCTGTAATTGCTATTTGGGGTTAACATACTTATGCACGCAGTGACCATTACACATTTGAATCTAATTTACTATTTTTGTAGTGAGTTGAAGTGACCCACTAAACAAGTCCCTGGCCCTTTGAGTCGAGTCTGTGTGTGTGTGTGTGCAGTGTTACACTGGAATTTAACGAGCCTACCAAAAAGCCATCTCCTTGCTTTTTCCCATCCAGTGTACACTTTTTTTCAGCCTCAGGAAAAAGGGGACCAAGTTACATGCATATTTTTTCCTGCTCTTTTATTTTTTTGTATAGACAGACTGAAAGCATAATTTTACTTGAGTTTATTTATTTGTATGTCACTTTGTAAATATTTATTTTTTTAATGGTGTACAAAAATGTACAGATAATGAAATTGAAGTTGTTTAAGAGAAATAGCTATTCTAACAAAAGATGCTGTAGACTTGAGGTGCAATAAGACTGTAAAGGAGAAATGTGGTATTAAGCAGGAGATTGGGCATTTTGGATGGTATGTACAACAGAGCCAATTATGCACATCACCTTTAAGTTATTTGTGCCCTCTGGAAAGAAATTCAAAGAATTGTGTACTAGTGAGAAGTATGTTTGTTTGTCCACCAAAATCTCTGTTATTTGGGGATTTTTTGGGTGGCAATTTTAAGTATTGTTCCCAAGTGTTGATTGGAAGGTGGTATTGCAGCAAATGGGTGTTTGTTGGCTTGTATTTTCAGTCATGGTTAAGTATTGTATGGGATGATTGAGTGTGGTGATTGCAAACCAGAAGGTAACTTCTCCTGCCTTCTCTTCCTTTTACTTTTTGGCTTCTCTGAGGTCAGAAAGTCTAAAATTTGCAGTTGTTACTTAAGGGTGTGCAAGGATAAAAATTATTTTCCAAAGCTGTATTTTCTTAGAAACTGTTCTTATAAATATTAAACAGAGGCATGTAGCATGACCCTTCTGGACACAGGCATGGTTGGTTATGGCATTGTAAGTTGATAAAGGTAGAGATGCAGGAGTAGAGACCAGAGCTACTGGAGCTTGCTGGCTTAGCAGTGTGAAAGGCCTGTAGTGCTCAGTCCACTGGTTGGTTGGAGGCCAGATGTCCTTGCCCGCCCTGTGTGTCCTCTCTGAAAGATCTGCATGATGTTGTGATGCTCACCAGTGTGCAGCATGCTGTGTAGATATGTACAGCTCTGTAATAGTGCCTCCGTTAAAGATATGGCAGATAGCAATTGTACATCAGTAAATATTGGTCTCCCCGCTTGTCAATCAAGAGTATGTATGCGCCTACCCTTGCTGCCAAGCTAGCACAGTTCAGTTCAGGAAAGCAAAAAAGTAGCACATACGGTATCCTTGCAATTAAGGGGTGGGGGCTTTGCTTCGCTGACCCTGTTGAGAGACTCCAGGCCTGTGTTTGTCCAGATCTGCACAAGCTGTCTAAAGGTAGCATAGAGGTAGGTCCAGTCTAAAATCTTGTCTTTAAGATCTTCAGTGTTTTTGGACTTAATCAAACGTGGGTCTACCTGTAAACTCATGCTGGAGCTCATCACTGGAGAGCCTAGAGGAGAGGCAGGCCCTCGGATTCCAAGGTGGGTAAAAAGAAGAAAAGCTTGGAAAGGTTGGAATGACAGCAAATTTGTCAGTGTGGATAGCTCAGGCTTTCTTGACAACATACTGCTTTAGAGCAGGTCAGAAGTTCTCAGAGAGGTATATTCTGGGGGCATGTATCTGGTACTTAGAGTAACTAGAGTGATGACATTTCTACCTTCCCTAATGAGAAACAGTTGCAAAGGTTAGTAAAATCTGCTGCTGTGAAATACTTCCTGTGACTTCACTTGAAATACTCCAGCTTTGCACAATGTAGTCCTACATCCAGTTTTCCCTAGCTTTGTATCAGGCTTCCATGCCAAATAATGTATTTTCAGAAATACTATATGATTTATTTTCCAACTTTAATATTTTGGCTCAGTTACAGATTTCTGTGCCTGCCCCTTGGCCCTCTGGCACTTGCAGATGTAATATTTCTCTATGGGCACCTATATGTTAGGAAATTCCCCCTACAGCTGTGCATAAAGAGCATTCCATACTTTGCATCAGAGATGTCTGTTGGCCTGGACCGAAATGTGTAGGTCTTTCTCACATGGTATCTCTTTGTTATTTTCTTTTTCTGTAACAGCATTGTGAATATTTCGGATGGGTTTTATATGCTTATTAATGTGGTTGTTTCCCGTTTTTAAAATAAAAACTATAGAACCAAGTATCTGGTTTGGAGTTTACCTTTATCCTGTAGGTCATCTTTTACTCCTTTATCACGTCCTGGAATGTCCTCAACTTCTGTGCTTCTACCTTTCTGACTAGGCCAGCACCCTAGATATGTTGTTTTTATTATAGTGGAAATCACCATTTCTCGCAGCCTCCATGCATATCACCTTAATAAATACCCTTACTACTCTACCTTAGCAGTTTTTAAACTAAAAACGTGCTTCTCTAGTTTTCGTTTGCTCAAATCCTTTTCTAGTATTTCTCAGTAACAGAAGGGAAGCGGCTGGAGGTTAGGAGTTCTGCCCAGAGCTGAAATGCCTGAGATTCTGCCCCTGCCTCCTTCTAAGCATGGTCTTCAACTTCTCTGCCACAGGGGTGAAAAGGGAGCCCTTCCCCCTGTAAATGATGCTTTGCTCCCTCTTGTCTGGCAGGTGACCTTACTGTCCTCCCTGGAAATCTTGCCCCTGTTTTCTCAGTACTAGCTGCCCGAAAGGACCAGGTTGAAGCAGAAACACCTCTGCCTGGAGAGAGGTCAGTGCCTGTGAGCTGCTCCCTTACCCAGGGGCTGTGAGCTGCTCTCACCCACCCATGGATCTTCTGTCTAGGGAGTGCTGAGCACCCACCTACTGCCATGAGGCAACAAGCGCTTGTTCCAGTGCACTCTTTTCCCTGTCCTACAGCTGTCTTGCAAGCCCAAGGAGTCTGTGTTTCACAGGCAGAAACTATGAGAACAGCTCATCAAAAAGGAGATAAAATATCCTTCAGAGGAAGAAGATGGCTGGAAGTGAGAGGAAGGAAAAAGATGACAGAACCCAAAGTATCCTAGAGGAAGACTCAAGCTGATACCCCTTCAGAGTCAGGAGACTGCACAAAGCAACCAGGAAACAGTAGGGTATAATGTAAAGGCTGAAAAAGCTCAGCTTAACAGAGCCCGTACAGAAACCCTTTGGAAACCTGAGGTTACTGTGTGTTTCTAGCTCCTAGCTCATGCCTGTGTTTTGCAGGGTTTGCTATGCAACAGCCTCATTGCTGCGGCCTGCCCTGGGCTAAGCTGTGCATGATTGTCTCTCAGCTCTGTGGCTGAGCTGAAAAAAACCCCAAACCACTCAACCAAACTTAGAAGCATATATATCTAGGTCAAACTTCACTCTAACATCTCCCTTTTCTTGTCAAAAGGGAAAGAGAGCAAAATCACTCAGGGCCAAAACACATGATTTGCTGAGCCCTAAATTAATGCTTTATGTCATTTTTGTGATAAATTTTTGGTTGGGGAATGTCTTTGGTTTAGATGTGGTTATTTTATTTCTGAAAGTTGTAAGGAGGCTTCAAAATGAAAAGCTGTTTGCAATTACATGATTTGAATGCTTGAAGATGGCTTGTTTTCCGTTGAAATGGTTCACATTCAAGTGAGTGTGGAGGCACTTCTCACAGCCACCACGATCCCCCCCCCAAACGTCATTCAACTCTGACAGGGGTGGCAGAGTTACCTTGGACAGGTCTGTCTTTGAGTCTATCCACAGAACTTCGTTCTGGGTTGTTGGGTGTAAGTGTGGTTGCAGAAATCTTCAAACCATTGCATAGGCTTCTGAAAATCAAGCCAGACCCCAGAGCAGTGTGAGATCAAAGTTTAGCTGCAGCAGGCTTTTTTTCCTGCTAATATCCCCACATCACCTCTTGGGTACACCCAGAGCTGGTGAAGTATCACCCCTGATAGGAAGCAGAATACTCCGAGTCTCTGCACCCCACTCCCTAACTGGACCTGCCACAGAAGGGAGGAAGGAAGCAACAAAAGAATGTGATAATGTAATCAGAGAATAAGTCTTGGAGGAAACCTCCTCCCTTTGTCACTTCCCTTCTCTTTGCTCAACAGCCCACATTACAAAACCTGTGAGATTCTCAGATGCCACGCTGTTGGCAGAGATGGAGTTCATGCCAGATCAGGACCATTCTGAATTCTCACTCTGTTCCAGTGCATTCCCCATCTAAGCAGTTGTTGGTAGAGGTGTTATGACTGGAAAAATCTCAAATGGCATGGAAAATTTTGACATGTCTGTGGAACTAGAAGGCCCTAGGATTTGTATGAGTAACTGGATCACTGGAGAATCGTTCTAGGAGAGGAACCACTGCTGAGTGGCAAGAGAAGATCCCCAAGGGTCACAAGTGACATCAGCCCCATCAAAGGTTTCAGTGCCATTTTACAGGCTGAAGTGTGATAAAGTGTCACAGCATCACTGCCAACATTTGCTGATTTTTTCATGTGTTATTTCTAATGAACATGTTTGTGTACCAGACAAGAAAAGCAGTTAATTCCTATGAGAAGAAATGTGAAAAAACATTTTATTGAAGGTAGATTTTGCTGCTGCATGCCCTGTGCACAAATCTTTGTATCCTGATTTTGTGCTCTTTTAAAGTTCCAGACATCTCAGTAGCTGGGGAGACCATGGGGATGCTTCTCCTTTGGGAAGAGCCCAAACAGTGCTGCAGTCTCCCAGCAGAGCTGCCAAGCCCTTCTTTGAGGGCTACGCAAAAAAAGGACATTTGCTGTTTTGGTGGGGGACTGTGTCATCATTGGTTTCATCTGAGAGGAAGGAAGGTGTGGACACTCTGATAATGCCATTGTGGTGGGGCCACCATGGAGCAGCCGCAGGAGGTGACTCACTACAACCTTTTCTCCTGCTCTACACATAATGAGAAAGGTCCTGCCAGCAGGTAGATCAAACACATGCTGAGTTGCACAGAAAATTTACACACCTCAGTGGGTTTTTTCAGGCTTTCTGCAGACTTGACTAAGGACACAGTTGCAAGGTTTTCTTCACTTTGAGAAGGACACTCTGAAGATGTGTGAGATACTGGAAAACCTGAGGTTTTCAAGTAAGCTCTGGTCTGTCATGTTTACACTTTAACCTGGCTCTGTCTTTACGATGTGAGTTACCAGGCAAGAGACAGTTGTCTTCATAGTATGCTGCTGGGAAGAGACAGCACTCAGAGAAATTAGGCTTCTTAGATGAGGAAAGAAAAGGGTTTTGTGTCCTAATATATGTATTGATAACACAATTTAATTGGTGCTCCTTGAAAGTATGCAGTATCTAGTGGAGGCAGGCTGTGTAACTTTTAAACCAATTCCCTTGCTGTGCTAAACCTTGTTTCTATGCTATACTCTAAAATACACAGTGTTTACAAGAACTGTCTTTTCCTTCTCTGTAAGATACAGCTTCAGCATGCCTGATAGACACATGACTGACCTGGAAAGTCTGTTTACTGCTTGCATTGCACAACCATTTTCTGCTTAGCAAACGGTCACATGGATTTGTGTGAGGCAGTCACATTGGCACACCAGTCACTGTGGCATGAAGTGTGGGACTGTTGCAGATCATGTACTGAAGAAGGTCACGCATGCAATGATCAGCCTGATCAAACATCACCCAATCTTTCACCTCTGCTGTGGTCTCTGTTTCATCCTGTTTTATTCTCTTCTCTGTCATGGACAAACTTGCCTTCCATCAACAAGTTTGCTTCTCCATCATGAACAAACTCAGATGCTTATTTCTTCCTTTATATTCTTGTCACCAACTGCTATTGTCACCTAGACTGCACATTATCTTGTTTGAAAATTATATTCATACATTAAATACTTTGGGATCGGGACTGTTTTTGTTTCTCTTAGTTTATTTCTTTGGAAGTGTTCTCTCTGATACTGTTCAAAGCTCTCAGTCACATGTCTTAACCTCATAGCTCTGCTTTGAGTCTAGACTATGACACAAGTCTACGACCTAAAGAGTCCACAAGGTTTAACAGAGTCACCAGAATAATCTTCCACTGAGGAAGGCATAGGGATGCACAACCAGGAGAGGATGAAGACTGGGAGCAGTGGTGAAGGTGTGGAGGAATATGGATGCAGAAGTGTGGCTGGCGAGGTTTGCAATGCATGGAAGAGCCTGTAGGAGGCCGAACACAGAAGGGAAACAGTGAAGATTATGAATATGTACTGAAGCGATCAGTAAAAAGAGAATGGTGGGTTGCTGACCTCTGAGGAAAGGAGGAAGAGGATGCAAACTAAACATCCCTGAGATCTGGAAGGAAGGCGAGGCATTCATTAGTGTGAGAAGGTGGAAAGGGCCTGTGAGAGAGGAGTATGAACTCTGACAGCAGCAGGTGAGCAAGTGAGGAAGAGAAAGACAGAAGGGGATGTGCAGTAGAAAGCCAACAGCCACAGCACCAAAGTACAGGCCCTTGAGCTGCATGCAAAATAACCTGAAGCCTCATAGGATTCTGGTACTTATGACACACTTTGCTAATGTCAGCAAAGCCCAGTTCGGACAGATACCACCACGGCACTGAAACCTGCAGTGGCTCATCCGTCTCAGAGAAACTGCCAGTGCAGAAGCGTTGGAAGAAATGCTTTCCAGCTTCCTTATTTCATGCCACAGACAAAACATTTTGTGAGTGATGGAGCAGCATCACACTGCCTTTACTGTCTGACTTCTTTCTCATGCTGATGCAAGAATAATACTCAACACAGATCATACACAGCTCACAGGTAATTGTGATGTTGTAATGTTTTGGTCACACACACAAAAACATTAAAAGCATTGTATTAGTGGAAGGCTTCACTGTTTCCAAACACATTGTCTAGGGCAATTTTGCTGTGTGAGCAGATCTGATTTCTTTTTTCCAAGTGTGATTGAAACAAAAAATCACAACAACAAAAAAATGAAAAAAAAAAAGTAGAAGTAAAGAGAGATACGTTTTTCCTTGGGTATGGGAAGTCTACGTCCTGACTGGCTGTGTGTCTGAGGACAGAGCAGCCAAAGCACAGGTGCTAGGGCTGGTTAGAAATAAAGCTGCAGCAAAGATTTAGTGCACAGTGGTGGCTCATTAAAAGATAGTTTTGGGTTTTTTTCCCTGGCTGGGACTTAATCTTTTGTTAACTAAAGTGAGCTGAGAGAGCACGTTTTCTCCTGCTGACGGAAGTGTCCGGATGAGTTAGTAACACTTTAG